CGCGCAGCCAGGAGTCGGTGCGCAGTCGTGCCGTTACAGACCGTATTTGGGCGATAAAATCAGAAAAGTTAAGCGAATGGGGTTCTAAGACCGAACTGTGAACCCGCGAGTGTTCCAAAACTGAGTCCGAGTCAAATTTGGCGAAACCGTTCCTGAGGAACCACGATTCTTGCGCGTCAATCCTTCTTGATAACTTCCGTGATCGGGATTCTAGTAAGCGCACTGGATTTTATTCCTTTGGAACCAGATTCCAGCATTGACCCGGTGAGCCGCATAGAAAGCTGATGGCTGACCCAGATAGAAGGTGCCGCGTCGACTTCAGAGTTTCCCTTTTCTCGATGTGCACAGCGGTCGTGCTGCTGCTTGCTTGCGACCAAGCAGCTTCTTCTCATTCTCTTCACCAGGGGATCCGGGCGACTCGGTAATAGTCTGTTTAAAGATAGAAGCTTTTCCTCGCTTCGAATCTGACAAAAGAGGTCCTCACGACGGCCGTACTCACCAACGGTGAAGAAGGTGCTGAGTATTGCAACAGCGGCAGGTTCCTCCGGGGCGGGGTAAAAGGCGGCCGTCACCCTGTGGTAGCCGTCTGGCAGGTCGCCCGGCTCGGAGACGGCCTTGGTGCCTCCGCACGGTTCGGGCGCTCCGTCGTCGACCTGGAAGAGACGGCTGCTGCGTCAATGGGAAGCTACTAAAAAGTGCATCACAGTCAAAAACGACCGGAAAATAAGACCCCGACACATATATGACACAAGGTGGGGCACGCCAGTGCCACTAACGAATCCCGATATGAAGTGAGCTGGGCTGAAATAAAAGAATCGTTTCTCATTTCAATCCCCTAAGAAGAGTGGCTCCTCACTCTCACATTTTCTCAGGGACTCATGATAGCAAGTTCGCCGCCTTTGATCTGAGGGAATCTACGAGCTTTGATGCAGAATTTGAGATAAACACGTCCGTTCGTTTGGTTAGCGCACGAGACTGCAAGAACAGATTGATAGCATGTAGCGTCCAGAGTTTCAGAGTGCCCAACGATACACTTTTTTGTTTTGCAAAAAAAACTGAAAGCCTGGTTCTGCCACGTGTAACATCGACCATCTGCCACTTGTCCCTGGCCTCACCTGGCACACGGCTTTGCACGTGGGCCCGCAGAGGGCGGCGGTAGCCGCGTCGAGCTGAAAAGGTATGGTCACTGTGGCGTCATTCGTAAACTCCTTTGCTTCGGGGACCTGCAAATTTGCAAAGGAGAAAGGACTTATGATCTCCACATGCCGCGGCTCTACCTTTTGCATGATCAGATGAGAGCTAGATGCATGAAGAAGAGGGACGTTCATCTATTTACAAAGCCTTCGGAGGAGTGTCGGTGACCTAGAAGGAAGGAACATTACAAACTAGAGCTTTTGTGATGAGGGTTCTGCAACTGATCAGATAGTCCTCTTACGAAGGGACCAGATTTGTGATAGAGGCGGACCTATTAAGCCGTGAAATGCTTCTCGTTTGGTTCCTCTTGTATTCAGGATAAAAGGACGGAGTCCACTCACCTGCAGAACCCCACCGAAGGTCTGGGGCGACGGGCTGCTAAACCGAGCCGTGAAATCGGCCGAACCAGGGATTGACTGCAGGTAGTTCACTGTTCTCAAGAGCTGAGAGGGGTCAGACGGTTGGAACTCTCCGGGCAGGCCCGGCACGGTTATTGCGTTTGTGATGATGAGGTTCGAAGCGGGGGCCTCGGTTGAAAGAACCGGGGGTTGCGTGGCCATGTCGGACTTCAGCAGGAAGACGGTGGGCTCGGGGGTGGTATCTAGGACGGGCGAGGAAACAGCGTCTTAGGTGAGCCCGTCAGGTTATTGGATTGGGTGGAAGCGAAAAAAGCGGGCAAATTAAGTCAACCAGGTGGGACTCGCAACCTAAAGGAGAATATGTTGAAGGACAAGCAGGCCGCTCCAACTGAGAACGACTTGGATGGTAGACTAGAAGCACAAGATCTCGAGGACTCGGGGATCCTGTTCGGTTTGAAACAGCTGGAACTGCGGCGCTGAGACACGCTCTAGCTCGATCGGTCAGAGTCATTCATAGTGGGCGTTATTGCAAAAAGTTGCCTCAGAGACCTTTTCTCCAATTTCACCGTTAGATTTTTGTTCCCGGCGACCATAAGGCGCGAGCCGGCTCACCGTTGGCCTGAAGCAGCTTCCTTGCGGTCGCCAGACTGACGGAGATGAATTCGTCCCGCGAGGCGCTTTTCAGGGCGGGGTCCACGGCAGCCTGGAGCCGCGCAAACGTCGCCTCGAAAGCGGAAAACGGCTCCGGAGTGACAATGACGTCAGCACCGGTCAGGTCGTGGCACGAGACGGGCTCGCCGTTGATCATGGCGGGGGGGAGCGGGACTGCGGTGAACCTGGGAGAGGGGAAGCGAGGTCATGTTCTGTAAATTACGTGAGACCTAGGGTGGTTCAAGGTTTGCGGGGAGGCACTAGTTCCGGGATCACGCAACTAAACGTTCATTCACATGGGAAGCTTCAATAACACCAATTTCAAAATTGAAGACTTTGAGTCTTTTGAACGATCCTTGCCATCAGAACGTACAGAACGAGGCAACTTAATATTTCGATTTGAAAAGTCCCATCCTGTTGTTGAGAGGTTTGAAAAATTTCAGCTATCTGGATAAAATCGCTCTGAATACGAGGCCCCCGAGCCAGTCCAGGGATCGAAAGTGCAGCCCTAGCTGAATCAGCAAGCAAGGCGAAGTGCAGCAAGCAGCACGCCAATCATCAAATAAAAGCAACTAGACTGAATCATCTACCTTTTTATCCCTCCACCTCCCTCAATGCAGAAAACCCGCAAACCTCTCCTTGGGAGAGACGTGGCTCACTCATTGCCAGCTGGCACTGCCTTCATGAGCTGCCACGTGACGGCCGCCCCGTGCTTGAGAGAGTTGTGGTGCAGGAAAAGCGGCGCGCCGTCAGGGTCGTGCTGCACCATGGTGTGCCCGCAGAATCCGCCGGAATCCGTTTCCGCGCCCGCGGCGGCCACCGGCGTCGCGACCGTGGCAAACGGCGTTCCGGTCGCGCGGAACGCCAGGCGGAACGCCTCCTTGTCGCCGTTGACCAGCTTCTGGAACGGGGGATCCTTCGCGAGGAAAAACGCCAGGTTGAGAGCCCCCCAGGCGCGGCGTTTGTTGACGAGGATTTGTCCCGACTCTAGTTCCTGACCCCCCGCGGGAACTCCGAGGATAGACCAGATGGGGTTTCCGGTGGCAGTCCGCCAGAAGTCCGGCCAGAAAAGGGCGCCGGTGGTCAGGTACTGGGCGGAACGGAACAGGGCGGCGGGGTCGGATATGGGAATGTTGTCGGCGTCGAGGAAGAGGACCTCTTCGAAGGCCGAATGGAGGATCGCGAGAGGCTTCACCTGCCAGAAGAAAGGGGAAATCCTTGAGAAACAGACCTTTAAAAAGTCACATGTTCACGGGCGGCACGTATGAATAGACTGACACCTGATTAACTCGGTTGAAAGTATCTTAGAGATGCACAAGAACGACGCATCTAAAGGTCAAGAGAAGATTTATATCAAACGTTTGAGTGTGTAGTTGGAATTCATATCTTGAGATTTAAAGAGGCAAGGCTGCGAAAGGCTGAACGATACATACCTGGAATACGTGCTCCCCTTGGCTTGTGACCATGCTCCGAAGGTCTTCGTCGGCCGCATATTCGGTCACGTTGTTGATGACAAGCTTGTTGCAACTCACCAATAGGGAGCTCATGACGTCAGGAGTGACCTCACCAGGGTACCAGAGCTGCAGGGAAAATCAAGTCGACTGACGAGGAGGTAACAGCCTAATAGACTCCGTGCAAGGGGGGTGATGGAGATTTGTGAGGAAGGGGGTTAGAGGCTGACAAAATATTTCAGATGGTAAGGGTTGCAACAAATTGATCTAGGCAAGGGGCACAGGACAGAGGTGATGGTCAGGGCGAATTACCGCGGTCTTGTAACCTTCCTGGCAGCATGAACCTTCATGCTGAGCAGAAACAGTCACAATTTCTGGACTAGAAGATTATTAACAGGCAAGCCCCTCCTGGGCAGACTATTATATTCAATGCATGACAATCTCTTCACGGGTTCGGGACTACACACATACCTAGATCAGAGAGCAGACCTAGAGAAATGCTTCCGTGCGGAATAAAATGTGAAAAAGCAAGCCAACACCGTCTCACCTCGACGGGCAGAGTAAATCCTTGTGACCGGAGCATAGTCAGCATAACCGGCACGTTTACCAAATCCAGCTTAGTCGCCGTGATCACCAGCCCCTGGCCTGCGAAGCTTCCCGAGGGGTACTCTGGAGTCTGGGCTACGGCGGCTTTCCAGGCTGTCATGAGGGCTGCAGAGTCGCCGGAAAGTGCCGCCCAGTGGGGGAAGGAAAGGGCGTGGAAGTTGCAATCGACATACGGTTCGCCGGGAACGCAGAGAGCGGCGTTGGATCGGGTTGCGAAGTAGATGCGCAGAAGCACCAGGACGAAAGAGGCGAGATGAGACAGGAATGTCGCAGCCATCGCCTGCAAATCAGAGAGTGAAATGAGAAGATTGAGGGCTTCTGAAAGGTTTATCTGTCGTCACGCCTTGACGTGAGGCGAAGTAGACGGCCTGCGGAAGAGCCACTTCCAATGAACAGCAATTTAGTGAGCCAGTTCGATCAAGCCTGAACCTGATAAGTGGGCTGTGTTGAAGCTTCTCTCGAATCAGCCAGAGATTCCCATATAGACAAACCACTTAAAATCGAGGTGTTTGTCATCCTTGCTTGTCAGTCCAGAAGGTGTCCAATTAGACAGTGCTATATTGTTAGGTAAACTGTATTTTCCTGGATGAAATAAGTCACCACTGGAGATTGGATTCGAACATTGTCGACGGTTTTACCCCAACCATGAAGAGATTCGACGTTCACCTTATACCCAGGGTTCCTAAAAAAATACTCCTTTCTGTACCTGGCGGTTGGCAGCCAGGTAGTCAACAACCTCTTCCAAGTTCGGTTGGGAAAGTCGTCGAAAACCTTCTTACCCCAACCAGAAAGAGCTTCCAGTATTCCACTATATGAGTCAATCTTCGCCAAAATAGTTGATTTCCTCCGCCCCTTCACTCTCACCTTTGAACTGCAAAGGACGGGACAACTTGCATCAATTGAACCTTTCGTGAAAGGATACAGCAAGAACAAAAAAAGGGGTGTCTAAACCTCATGTGCAGTCCAAAGGCACTGCAAACTCAGGACTACCTGGTAGTTCTAATGAGCACTTTATGTCCACTTTCTGCCAAGCACTTTGTCCAGCATCCACTGGCTCAGCCCTAATCTTAAGGGTCTGCTCGTCGGTCAATGGTATATTCGTTGGGGCTACAATTCTATGTTCGCTGGAAGTTCTTTGGACCCTTGTGCAGAGCTTCTTCGGAACAGCCATGGGCTCTTACTGATCGTGTCCAACTTGTATGGATACGTTGTTTGACCAGGGGAATCCCTCAAGGCGGCTTGGGCTTCTATGATAAGACCTTCACGTTGCCCTCAGAGTACTTCTGCCCATCTCTTAGGATTGCTCCCAAGAGGAGGGATCCCTCAGGCTATCCCCTACTGAAATAGCTCCGCCCCAGCTGGTCGGACCAGATTTTGTAAGTGACCCTTTTCAACTCCCTTCAGTCATGAGACTGTTGCTTGCTGAGTTCCGTTTTTGGAATTGAAGCTGTCGGCTTGTATGCTTTACCTGATGCCAGCTTTTGAACGCCCTGAACCCCACAACAATGCTGAAAAGAACAGACTATTGTCGAGGGAGGTCAGGGATCCCCCATCACATCACCTGTCTCAAAGAACCGAAGTCCTCAAAGGGAGAGTTCCTGTTATGGTAATAAAGACTCGTAACCAAGCGTACATCTGCCATCATCAGGTAGCCCTCAGAAAATGCGCTGAAGAAAAGGCAAAGCGTGTTTAAGAAACAATAGCATCGTATTTGTGGAACTCTGCTTTTCAAGGCATCAGGTAATGTGCCTCACCTCCGCTGCATACTTTGTGCCGGAGCAACGATTTCGCAAGAAGCATTGTGTGCTGAGGCATTTGCATTGCACCACATTCGTTTACCCAATCAGAGTACCATTTCAGCCATCATCAAACACACTCACCTTAATAAAACGAAGCTCTCTACTCCACCTGCGTCGTCACTGCGAAACTGCTCACGGTGCAAAGCTGCAACAAGCTTACCGCTGAATCCACTCCAGTCCACATACTTCCAGACTAATGACTGCCCTTGTCTTCCTTCGTCCGACCTTTCAAAATGAGTGACTTTGTCTTCGTTTATACGATCTTGAAGTGGACACTCGCAAGGGCCCAACGTTTGTGTTCTTGGTTCGAATCACGCGCCTCTGTCCTTATTTGTGTGCATCCGATTGCCTACAACCGTGCATCGAACTTCTCCACGCATGCCACGGTGCGAGCCCCCAAGCACAATTAGCGAGTCGTTATGACGTGACTACTTGGAGCATACTCGGCTTTTACAGGTCTGAAGATTGCGGATAGAGATAAGTTCGGTGTTGACTCCGTTTGACAGCAGCTAAAATCCGCCGCCTTCTAGCTGGTCGAACCGTGCCACCGTCTGCTCTTTTGTGGTCACATCAAGAACCAACAAACAAATTTTGAAACGAATAAAGGAAACACTCGATTCATGATGACATTAGAAACAACCGGCTTTGGGATCCTGAAACTGTGAGCGACAAAAACACTCAATCTCTAGCAAGCCTGAACTTTGATGAGTGTACACGCTTCCAGAAATGCTGTCAGAAACGCTGCAAGGGCGGCACCCACGTCGCCACGTCTCATTCCACAAATCCAGGCGACCAGTCAAGCTTGACGTTCTTACGTCCTTAGAGGACCCGTGGACTCAGTGGCTCCACTTAAAGAGGGGCAGAGCGGAAATAAAGAAGGTATGTACAGTCTGGCACACCGGGCTGATCAGCTGCAGTACCGGGACAGCACACCGACAACGAAAGGGGAATCCTCGCCCCTTTCGCAGCGGATGGTCGGGTCCGAGGTTCGAACTGACGACCGTTCGGCACACCCCCTTTTAGTGTGCTAGCAGTAAGCCCCTAAGCTACCCCGAGGTGGGATATTAAAGAGGGGCAGAGCAGAGTGATTTGTTAACTGGGGGCCATCGGATGCACGCTTGCACCCAATCATTTGGTGTACCCGTACCGACAAACCGATCGAGGAGGAGACGCAGTCTTCGGTCTCTTTGCCGCTTGAGTCACGTCAGCACGGCCGCACATTGGGTGCTGAAACGACAGGCAGTAAGTGTGCAGCTTCTGGGTGCACCATATGCACTGTGGCACCGCGCAAGGCTGGGAGCTACAGCCGGTTTCGCAGTTTCTGAGGTCGAAGAAACCCATACTGTATCGAATAACTTTCACGTGTACGTTCCTCATGTGTGACGTCTTGTGAGAGCCTTTTGGTCAGAGCTGATTTTGTATGAGTGCACGAACTTCATTTTGTCCGCCGGAGTCTAACTTTGACCCGCCTTTGGCGGTGTTCTGTTGCCTGCACCACGAAGTCGTAATGGGGTTGTAAGAATTACAAGACTCAGTGGCCTCGTCCTCATTCTCCTCCCTTCATTATTGGCCGGAGTGAAAAGTCTCATATTCATCATGATTCTCCTCATTACCTTCATTCCTTTCACCGAAAAGTCTCATTTTCATCATCCTTCTCATCATTCTGTTCACTCTTTTCACCGAGGAGACGGAGGGTGAGAAGTATGAATGAGGTTTGTCATTTGAAGTCTCATCATCCTCATCGGCCCGGGGTCTCTCCCCCCGCTTTCATCGTCCTCATCATCCTCATTCTTCTCAATGAAGAGAATGAGGATGAGATGAGGGCGCATATGTAGATTTGTCCGTCCATATACCGCTCATGCTCATCAGCCAGGGGGGTCTCTCCCCCCGCCTTCATCGTCTTCATCATCCTCATTCTCCACAATGAAGAGAATGAGGATGAGATGAGGGCGCATATGTAGATTTGTCCGTTCATATACCGCTCTCATGCTCATCGGGCGGGGGTCTCTCCCCCGCCTTCATCGGCCTCATCATCCTCGTTCTCCTCAATGAAGAGAATGAGGATGTGGATGAGGGCGCAGATGTAGATTTGTCCGTTCATTCTCCTCAATGCAGAGAATTGAGAATGGGTTCGTTCTTGGACTCTGAATCAGCCAAGGCAGCTTAGAAGCTGAAACTGGACATTATCAACGACTGGTTCTTAAAGCCTACAGTACTCGAGCTCTCGCTCTCTTGTCGTAATGTGCTACACTGATTGCGTGTCTCTGCCGCAGTCGCTGGTG